ATAAGTAAACTCCACCCTAGTATGTCTCAAGGCTGTCAAGAGTGAAAACTCAAAAGAGATATTAAATCTTCAAGTGAATGTGTCTAATCTTAACCCAGAGGCCCCTCTTTGAGCTCCACTTCTTAAGCAGAAGAGAATGACACTGTCTTGTTAGAAACAGTTCCAGTGACAGCATTTAATCCCTCCAATCCAGCTCTTTGTACGGAAGCCAAAGTTATCCTTGACAGTGGCAGTCATATATCTTTTGTTACACAAGACCTAAAAAAAGAGATGGCACTTAAGGCCAAAAGCAAGAAGAGTATGTCCATTGCAGCCTTTGGTTTAACTACAGAGAGAGAGGAAGAATATCATTTAGTACAAACGGAGGATGGGTCTATAACCCTACGATTCTTAGCACTTCCCCTTATCTGTGGTCCCAGCATCTATTGATATTCCTAAATGCTATTATGAGCATCTCAGTAACTTAGACTTTGCCGTACCAGATGAAGGAGAACCACAGATATTGATTGACCTGGATTACTATTGGTCTGTTGTCTCTGGTGAGGTTATTCAAGCTAGTTCTGGTCCCTCAGCATTATATACTAAATTGTGATGACTTTTGTCTGGTCCCTTATGTGACAAAATGCATCACTCTTCAGCTGCTCTCATTACACATGTACTTAAGGTAGAGACTGGTCCCACAAATAGAGTGATTGATAATAGGCTCAGATCCTACTGAGATTTGGAATCTCTAGAGAAAATTGATCCCAAAGTGGCAGTGTATGAACAGTTGAGTTCACACATCACTTTGTGATGGTCGTTATAAGTTGTCTTTGCTTTGGAAAGGTCCATGTGCTTCTGTGCGGGATAATTTGTCACTTAGTAAGAGAAGATTACTTAGCCTTTTGAAGCGGTTTAGGAAGACTCGAGATTTGCTGATTGAATATGATAGTGTCATCCAGCATCAAAAACAGATGGGTATTGTTGTGCTAACCAGTAGATCCCTCACATCAGGATGGCAACCAAGTTGTGATGGATTAAAAACTATTGATTATTATTCTTTATTATATAGGTATGTGTTACTACTTATTGGTTGTATCATTATCATTTGAATTATTAGTTGTATGTGTATTATTGACTATTAGTGGTGTATGTATTGTGTATTAATAATGTATTGTGGTTTGACCTTAGACTAATTTGTGCAACTGTGGTTTATGTGAGAGATGACAGCTCGGACTTGCTCAGGCTTGCCCAGGTTGCCATCTAACTAGGAACCCTCTATGTCATGTGGTTGTCACTTTTGTGTCATATGTATAACTAGTTTTAACTTGTTTGTG